TAGGAAACTAATTTGTTCCTTAGAATTTTTGAATTTGGAATTGCTCAAATTTAAACGCTCAAGCGTTAATTTGTTTATACTCTTATATGTGCATTTGTTCAGCCGTTCGTGCCAGCTCAGCTGCAGTTTGTACCTGCCATGCTTCCAGCAACATCGTTCCTGCCAACACAGCAAGTTACGTATGTGACGAGCAGCGCTTCTAATGGTAAAACATACTTTTTTACTCCTTCAAAACGCAAAATTCTTAAATTCTGTAGCTTCGGTTGAACCTGGGCGCACAGTTTGTTTCGAAAAAAACTTTACTGAAGCTGAATTGTTTGTATAGTTGAGAATTTGTTGCTTTTGAGTTTCTGAGCTTTAAATTTTGAACTTCTCTGCCAACGGAAAAGATCTTATCTGCTAGCAGAGCAATCAGAGTGGCATTATAAACTTTTGAAACTTTTAGAGTTTGTTAAAAAGTATCGTCATAAATTCTTCATCCATACGTTAATTCAGGCAATGGGGCAATAAGCGGACCATCGAGAGTAACAGCTACCTCATCATCGATGGTTGTTATGAATGATAATCAAAATGACCAGCAACACAATGCTAGTCTTTCGGAAGCAGAAATTTTTAATATTTTTTAAAAAATCAGACTTTTTTTAAAACATGAAATTGATAATTCACAAAATACTAAAGTTAGAAAACTAGTGAGGGGACTCTGTTTCCTCAAAAACATGACATACTTGGAACTTAAGACCAGAAGTTCCAGTGTCTTAACTTAAGACCGGAAGTCCCAATGTCAATGCTAAAGACCAAAAAAGCTGAAGACTTGAAAAAAAAAAAGATGAAACCATTTTAGGCATCCCCGTTGTCAGCAATGCAGCATGAAGAAGTGCGAACTCGCGCACTTTGCTACTCGCCGCCGCAACAGCACAGCCAGACCGGTGGTAAAAGATTTGCTCAATAGCCTTGCCTTTTACCCTAGAATTCCCGTTAAAAGCCGTTAAAAACTGAGAAAAATCAGGAAAATCGCGGTGAATACTATTAATTGCTGTAGTAAGTGGCATTAGAAAGCCAGGGCTGATGTAATTCGTGATATTCAGAGAAAATGGCGACAAAAAACTCGATTTTTTCCTGTTTCTTACTGCTCTGTAAGTTTCGTTTGCCACACATCTAGGAATTTGGGACAGGAATTTGAGACAGCCAGCACAGGTCCTTAATTCTAAATTGCGCGGCTCGGCTTTTGTTACAGATCTACGAAGAACTCGCAAAGTAGGAAAAATTGTGCGCAGTAATAGTAGCCAGACACTGGGGAATGAACGTGGTTTTCATACACAGAAATTTGAATTTTTAAATGCTTCATGCTCCAAAATGAAGCTGCAATTTGCTTTACTTGCTTAGCGTTTATTGTGTGATTGTTAACGCAACGGTTAACGTGTCATAAGTCGATGTGTGTGGGAAGAGCAGAGATGGAAGAGTTCATTTCCCGGCAGTGAAAATGAGGAGTTTGATGTGCAGTGAAAAATATCCGAAATTCGCATCTGTTTCTTTTCAAATTACTGCCAAGGAAATTTGTAGATGAATCTGTAACGGGCGCAGCATCAGAGCACTCCACCGTTTCAACACGTATTAGGCGTATGAAAATCCCTACG